ATTGCTGCTGAATGTCTGCATTTCAGGGCTGAGTAGTGCTGATGCCCATTCAAGAATATTAAGCAGCAGTTTAATGAAGACTCTTTTATGATGAAGGTTACTTTATGGGTCTGCTACTAGATCCTTTTTATTATTTCCTGTTTTACAAAGTAAGAACCATGGGGAACATCTCACAACTAAGTTATAAAACCCTGAAAAATGGAGTTTATAATGAAAATTGCAACCAACCCGTAAGTCTGCTACTAGTAAATGCAGGGGTAGTGCTGGGCTAATTGGGGGATGTGGGGGGCAGTGGTAATGAGTTTAACACATTTAAAAAGAATGAACGAGTATTTGAAGGAGCACCTTTTCCTGTCAAACAGAAGTGTAAAAATGATATTTAAAGATATTAGTCTGTGATTATTACGCTGTCATTATATACCCAAGAGTCATAAAATCAGATTTCCAACATCTTAACGCATTGTGGACCATCAGCAGAATCAGTGGGACTGCAGGGAGGGGATAGATAGTGTCATTTAGCCTACAGCATGATCCCCATCATTCTGGTAGAAAGAAGGCAAAAGTTATGGATGAGGGGAGAGGAATTGGCCTCAAGAGGCTCAGCTTTAAATAATAAGTTCAGAGAAAATTTATTGCAGAAGCTTCATATTGCCTTTAGACCAAGTAAAACCTCACAACTTTTTAGAAAAAAAAAAAATTTTAAGTGGTAAATCAGTCACTAAACAATCTTCTCGGTATTGAGTAGTGAATGCTTGTCATCATGCGTGAGTGGCATCTTTCATGTGATCATCTTGTGATCATCACTAATAATGAGAGAGGTGGTTCATGTCCCCACTGCTCAGCACAGCTGGTGTACTTTTTTTTTCTCAGGAGAAGGCTAAAAATTGAGTATTTGGGTGCTACAGGTGAGAAGTGTACTGAAAACCACTTGTAAAGATTTTAATGGGCTTATCTATTGCTCTTATGGTGCTACTTGATTAAGGCAAACACAGTGCTGCACTGAAAAAAAGACAGGATCTTTATAATACTGGTTCAAGTTTTAATGTTATTAAACCAAAAGTGTCTGCCTAGATTTCACACTTTCTAGCAAGGCAGAATTTTAAAATCACAGTATTCCCCTCTATCAAAAGCACATCAAAATGCAACCCAACTCCATGGCAATACTATATAACATGAATAACATCCTTAGCGTTTAAGGCTGTTTGGCAATAAAGACACAGCAGTCTTTACAGCAGAGAAAGAGAGAGAAATGGCTGCAACCATTCCTGTTCCTTTAAAATGCATACAACTAATATCCTTTAAGTGTGAACCTTAACTTCATGGAGAGAACTTGCACACTTTCTATTAGAGGTAATAAGGGAAGTGTTTCATTTTAACAATTTAATGCTAGCGCTGTCATAGTCTTTCATTATTCTGGACTCACAGACCGCTTTTGCAGAATACAGCTTTAAAATACAGGTCAACATGAAAGGATTTTGAAATAAGACGAAAATGCTCTTATTTCTTTTGAGTGGGTCCTTTATTTTCGTATCTATAAGAGAACTACTCTCTTCTCCAAATCCTTTCTCCCCAGGAGGAATCAGCAGGGACATTGTGACTTATTTGAAAGTTAAGAGGCTGAAAAGCTTTAGAGGAGGCATTGTAATCTGCTATAAAATGTGTGCAGGACAGAGGCATAGATTTGGAGGTTTTGGTAACTCTCCAATACATAGGAGAGAAGCATGAGATGATTAGATTACTCACAAAGTGTTAATCCTGCAGCAATGAGGAAATTTCTAAAAAAAATCCCAATCCTTGTGTTTACACCAGATTAACTAATACGAAGAGGCAAGCATCTCTTCTTTCATTGTTGCTTTGAGAGGTATACTCTCCTATCCTTTTGATTCTTCCAAAGTTCACATATGGAAAATGTCATCATTACAAATACAAGGCCTGTCTCTAAAATTGTGTTATCTGCAAAGCACTCTAACCTCATTAAGAAATCAGTGCTGTTAGATTTCTGTTTTTATAGAAACAGTATTGATCAGACCCAGAAAAACATAGTAACATGGGGAAAAAGGTGGGGAAGCAGCTTGCAATGGGTCCCATCTCTCGTTTTGCCCAAGTTGCCAGGTTGGCATTGATAACTGACTATCTTAACTCATACAGTGTGTACAATGAGATAGGTGACTTTCTGCTTTGGTACCTTGTCACTCAGTCTGAATATTAAGTACTGGGTCTACTTGGTTTCCAAGAAGATGACAAGTTTAGCGTTTTGAGCTATTGGAGCTGAGGTTGCTCAGTAAACGTGCTAAGGTAGTTAGTAGGGATCTTGAAAGCCCTAAAGCAATTTGTTTGAGGACTCACAGTGCTGTAAGTCTGCCAGCAGTGATAGTGCTGTGATACTACTTTGTGGACGGTGTGGAGAGCACTGTGTTTGCTGGGCAGAAGATTATCCTTCCTGGCCCATACCTCCTGCTAAGCCGATTCCAATCCAGTCGTGCAGAGTTAGTTTTATCCGTCATAATGATTGTGACTCCATGCTACTGACTGAAATCTTACAATCCCAGCACCTGTAGAAACTCAATGGCTAGAACTTAATCAAATTCAGCAAGCAGAAGACATTGTGTTTGTTCCTTTCTTTCGCAGTTTCCATGAGAGCAAATGGTTTGTGCCCACAAAGAAGGCAGGCTCTCAAAATGCCAAAGGATTGCAGGTTTGGGAGAGAAATTTGCCTCTCTTCACAGATTCATTACTGTGCCAGCAGCCAAGCCGTGGTCAGTAGGTCAGGACTTGGACAGGCATCATAACAGTTTCTTGGTGGCAGCATTATAAGAATTCAGAAATCCTGTACTTCACAGACAGACCTAGGCATGCTTCCCATTGCTTGTGCTCTATCACCAGCCACTTGCGCTTCATCAGATGTCAGTCATCTGTGCACAGCGTGTAAGGACGTTTTCCAGAAAGGAAAAAAAAAAAAGGATTTTTGCCCTTGTCACATGTTAGTGGTATTTGTAGAATGGTGAATATTGGAACTCATCAGCCTCCTGGGAACAATAGTTAGGCTTGGGATATTACTGTGCAAATAGATAGTAAAGGGCTAATATTCTTATGTTATCTGTAAACATCTCTCCTGCATCTACTTGCTGACAGAGCATACAGAAAAAGTATGCTTCTGTTCCATTACGTGCTTTTTCTTCGGTTGTCTTCAGTAGAGCAACTAATGTAACTTTAAGAGTTCACAGTTTGAAAACGATAGGCTTCATTGATTTTTATTTTTAATTTCCCACTGCTGGTGTTTGCTACTAAACACTTTCCAGTGGTGACAGAGAAGTGGCCTATATTATGATGGTCTGCTTTTTGTGAAGTGGATATTCCTTTTTAGCAGTATACCAAAACTGAAAAAATCCAGAGCCGGACTGGAAGCATTTAGTTGAAACCCCAGGCTCAGCTTATTTGTTCATTATCAAGTATCTCCCGAAGTTCAGTGCCAAGTAAGAACCACATTGCTAGTCTCTCAATAAGTGAGATTTTATTTGCTTATGAAATGGTGTGTGTTAAAAATTGTGGATTCTTACTTGCTTTGCTCTTTACAAAGAAAAATCCAGAGTGCCTGAAGGAAAAACTAAAGATTACAGTGGGGCTTTCGTTTTATTTTGTTTTTCATCCACGACCCCAGGTTTAAAAAACAGAATTAAATCATCTGAATGTGTTCAAGTCTGGAAGTGCTGACAGTACAGCACTCCTGATAGTAACATCATTTCTTTAAGGGTTCATATATTGACACTGGATGCTAATCTTAGCCTTTTGTTCTCTAAAATCTCAGTGTTAAGAATCATCTCTTTACTTAGTTATGTAACAAGCTCCATAGGACTTCTAGTTCCAAGGCCCCGATTTTTGTGATTATTACAAAAGGGAAATTACCTTCGCAGCCTGGACTAAATACTGTTTTGTATGAGAAGTTTTCATGTCCTATAAAAATATGTTGGTTCCTGCAATGTAAGTGCAGTAAATTAATTAAAAATAAACTACTGTGGCAATGTGCAGAGGAATAAATGGGCTCAAACAGGGAAGCAAACACTCAGAATTAGTTCATATTCACTGGCTCGGACTTAATGTTCCTTTCTGGAGGCTTTTGGCTAAGTCAGCTTTAATTTATAGGTGGAAGCCCAGGATCCCTCTCTTCAGGGACACTCTCAGTAGGAAACGTACAGGTCCGCTGTGGGTTACCCTGCAGTAACCTGTGGTTGTGTTGCCTGGGAATGCGGCGCAGGTTCTCTCTACCCACTGCTGAAGTAGCAGGTGAAGCACAAACCCATTGCCACATGGAAAGGAATACAGAGCTTCTCATACATACTCAGAGCATACTCATACAGAGTATCTCATGGCTTTATGAAAGTATATGAGCTCTGGGGGCAAATCCGTTAGGATGAACTACTGACGTCAGTGATGCTTACTATTGAAAGTAAGAAACCAAACTGCAGTCGTGAGTCCTTCCCCCCCAAAAAAGTTGACTGCTTACCATTCTTTGCACATTCTGCTTTGAGGTCCTCTAATTAGGCTCTGCCTACTCTATTGGTTTCCCCAAATAACAACAGTGATATATTTTTATGAAAATGTTATTTTTTGCAGTGCATCAATGGGCTAATGTTCTTACATTACCTGTAAATCTGCATAAATAAAGGTTATTTTTAAAACCTTCCTGTGCTATTCCAAGGCTTGTTTGTATTTTTCAAAAGGCTGTAGTGTTGGCATTATAATGTAAAAGGGGAGAGCTGATAGTAGCAAAGCCAAATAAAACCTTCAGTAATGTGAAACAAATATTTGCTCATGACTTACCTTTTTTTTTTTGCCTCAGTATACCAGACATTTGCAAAGTACAAACAGTAAAGAAGTATTTAGAAATTAATATGTTTAGGCTCTGAGGCCTAAAAGATCCTTTTTTATATAAAAAGATGGTAAACTGTTTACTCTTATTTGTTGTAGAATCATTCCAAATACATAGTTTTTTTCTGGTTTAGGCTCCTAAGGACCCAGTCTCTGGATTGGTACTATAATAATGTCAAAAGCCGCTTTAAGTGTTTTGGAAGTGCCAAAGTCCTGAAGAACTTATACAAGAAGCACAGACTGGAGAGCGGAGTTTGTCCTGATGTAGTAGGTAAGAACAGCTGTGTTGATTTCTTAGTAGCTTATCTACTTTAACACACAAGCTGAGACAATGGAAATTCTGAGATGATTTCAAAAAATATTTTTTAAGGCTATTTTTTTTTTTTATAAAAGAAATACCTCAGTGGGAGAGAAAAAAGAGGTGAAGTGTTGAGAGCTGTTTAAGAATTCAAAGAATGTTAAATCTTAATTATGCCACTGATACAGAAGAACTGTTATCTTCAGTCTGTAAAGTAAATTGCAGTTTGTATTCTAGCCCGTGTTCCAAAATTTATCACAGTTCTGAGTAGTCAATGAATGAAAAAATAATTTTGCATTCAATGTTTAGCCTTAGAGCACATTCCCTTAGTATTAGAAGCAAAATTTGGTTAACATGGGATACATTCAGTATCCAAGTTGACCAAAACTTAGATTGTCCTCACTTAGAGTTTTGCATGCTTAGCGGTCTGAAACTGGCCACACCTTACTTTTGTATTGATGTTTGTAAATGGTTAAAAGATGCCAATTAAGTATTGGCATCACCCTTTCAAATGAAGAGATGCAATTCTTCCTTAACGATGGTGTTACAAGGTATCACCCCATAAGAAGAGTAATTGGAGATATAAAATGGGTTAGAAGAAGTGATGTTTGGTGTCATACTGGTAACTTTAGCAAATTACTCAAAAAGTGGCTATCTGAATGTTTTCATTGGATTTGTTGGACCAGATACTTTCCTAATGTAATTATTCTGAAATTTGTACAGACTGACTGTAATTTTTCTATAGTCTTTACTTTGTCTTTTCTGAAATTATATAGGATGGTAAGTGGTCTCTCTAGTCCTGAGTGAAAATTTTAGGTGTTTCCTAGGAAAACTGGCATAAAAGCTTCTAGGGAGAAGTGACCTATGCATTAAATTCTGATTTATTAGTCTTTTTGCTTTCTCTGTATCAAATTAGTTTTCCTAGAGAAGATTCCTTAACAGTTGAGAACAAATATGTACGAAGACAAGAAAATCCGTGGCAGTGAAGGCAGAAGTGGGACAGTGGAATTAAAAACTGTGGGGATGGATCCTTCAGAACTTTAATGCTATATCTTGCCTTTACTTAAGCCATAGTCTCACTGAATTTGTCCTTGAATGGAAGTGTGAACAATGCAATGATGAGTTGCAGTGACATGTACACTCTCTGTGAGACCTTTCTAAGGAAGGCCTTTGAGTCTAAATGTCATTGCTAACTTTCTTCTACTCTCCATGTGACTGTTAGGTAAACCTTTTGTTCCCTCTGAAGATAAATACTAGTATACGTGTCTGGGTTTTGGCTTATTTATACAGCATTGCCCTTTAAAATGTAGACTCTATTTCAACTCCAAATGTCATATTAAAGGCAAATTCCCTGTACTTAACTTCTACCATGTAAGTTTTATACGTAGTAGCTTCTTCCTCTCTCTCTCTCTCTTTTACTATACAAATAGTTTTCTCCATCCAAAATGAATGAGAGGTCTTTTGTATAAAAGCAGTCAAGTTTTGTACAAAAGCTGCTGGAGTTATGTTTTATACAAAAGGTAGGAGGAATTTTCCGGGTATCCGTCTTTGTGTGTGGTGCCGCTGTATCTTGAGTGAATATTCTTATCTAATAATGTCTCTGCTGTTAATGGGTACTTCTTATACTAACACATGGTACTGTCTTTTTTGAGCAGAAGGAGGTTTTTTTGAAGGAAGCTTTGAAAATGAAGGAAGCATTTGTGGCAGTGACTCTACATTCTACCAACAGACAGAAGGTATGCTACTAAAAACTCGTTTGATTAAAACACAGTCCTTACACTTTGAATTACTGGACAAATAGCCTAGAGTGCTGGTAAGTCTTGTTCACAGATCCAACAACCTTTTAGCTGAAACATTTAGCAAGATACTAAAATCCTTTGTGTACTGTGCTGGGATATCTTGCTTAAGTGTTACAACTAATACATGCTTGTTCTAGTGTGATTTTCTTAATGTTCAGCTTTTGTTAACTTCTCTCCCATTTCCTTTCCTATGCTCATGTATCTTTTTCATTCTCTTTCTTCTATTCTGTTGGTGTTTATAGGAAGTTTACAAATTTTCTTCCTATGATTTCCTCCTAACTATTTTGCTGGATTCTAAAATAAGCAACATAAAAATACTGTGTTTTATTGTATTTCATATTTACATGTAAGAAGTAACACAGAGATTGAGACAAATTTCTCTGTCTCAAGGTGTTTGTTTTATTGTGCATAATTATGGATTGAGGAAATGAACTTTGTCATGAAGAACCTAAGGTTTGAATATATGTCCAGAATATGAGTCTGAATTTTGGAGCGCATTATGCAAAATGTACATATATAAAGAACATGGTGCGTTTATCTTATTCTTCACCTAGGACACAGCATGATGGATACCCTTGCTGTGGCCTTACGGGTTGCAGAGGAAGCAGTGGAAGAAGCTATTTCTAAGGCAGAGACCTACAGTGACAGCCTGGTAACATTTTGCAAAACAAATGTATTAATTTAAATAGAACAATTATGTTTCTTTTAATTTGGGTAGTGGTGCAAAAACAAGTAAATACAAAAGAAAACATAAAGAAGTAGTGACTATCTCATGCCATACCTGAAGAATTGGGTGTGGGTTTTATGAACTTGTATTCAAGATGCATGTTGCATTTCAGAAGGTGACATGCAACGTAAGTACCTGTAATTTCTTCCCACAGTGCCAATAGGGCATATTACCCATTTCCTGATCTATGCCATTTCTGTGGAAAGGCTGGGGTTTTGTGATTTTAGCAACTACAGATATCCATTTTCACACAGGACAAGCAGAACGAGGCTTGTTACTTGCAGGAACACAAGGAGGACCTCATAGAAGAGCTGGCCACAACAATTGTGCAGAAGGTAGGGCATGCATTTTTTCCTTAGCTAATTTAATAGCCAAAACAGTCTTTTAGTCTGGTGAGCTTTAACTCTGCTAACAGCAAAAAGGATGACACCAATGTAGAAAGTAGAGTAAATTGCAAGTTGCAACTTCAACTATCACAGTATAGGCTTAGTCGGCTACATCTGACAGAGACGTCAATTTATAAATAAACTTAATCCAGTGCCTAAACTGATGGCCTACACCCTCCGAGCTGAGAGGTACCACTCCCTCAGGTCTGTGATTTCGTTGTTTGGAAGAGGAGGCCCCTGCTTGATGGAATTTTACATCTGTACTTCACTTCCCAAAAGGCACAAAGTTTTCCAACATAGAGAAGTGTGGCTCTTGATCATACCCTCTACTGAACTCTGCATTTGCAACATGTACAAAGAAAACATCAATCATTAAAATAGAATTCAGTTAATGATGCTGTGAGAGAGACACCCAGAAAATCACAGAACCCTCTGTGTGTCTGATTTGTGTGGCTTTTTCCGGAAGGCTCATTCTTCTCCCTGCAAAACTCACAGTTGCCACTGCCACAGCACAGAAATGGAAGACTCATGGGAATAATGTATTGGCTTTGTGTGGCAAGGTTTTGGTAGCAGGGGGAGTTACAGAGGTGGCTTCTGTAAGAAGCTGCTGGAAGCTTCCCCTGTGTTCGAGAGAGAGCCCATACCAGCCAGCTCTAAGACGGACCCACTGCCGGCCAAGGCCGAGCCAATCAGTGATAGTGGTAACGCCTCTGTGATAACATTTTTAAGAAGGAAAAAAAGTTGCGGGACAGACAGAAACCGCAGCCGGAGAGAGAGTGAGAACATGTAAGAGAAACAACCCTGCAGACACCAAGGTCAGTGAAGAAGGAGGGGGAGGAGGTGCTCCAGGCACTGGAGCAGAGATTCCCCTGCAGCCCGTGGTGAAGACCATGGTGAAGCAGGCTGTCCCACTGCAGCCCATAAGGTCCACAGTGGAGCAGATATCCACCTGCAGCCTGGGGAGGACCTGACGCTGGATCAGGTGGGTGCCCGAAGGAGGCTGTGACCCTGTGGGAAGCCCGCGCTGGAGCAGGCTCCTGGCAGGACCTGTGGAGAGGCGACCCCACAGAGCAGGTCTTCTGGCAGGACTTGTGACCCTGCGGGGGACCCACGCTGGAGCAGTGTGCTCCTGAAGGACTGCACGCCGTGGAAGGGACCCATGCTGGAGCAGTTTGTGAAGACCTGCAGCCCGTGGGAAGGACCCACATTGGAGAAGTTCGTGGAGACTGTCTCCTGTGGGAGGGACCTCATGCTGGAGCAGGGGAAGAGTATGATGAGTCCTCCCCCTGAGGAGGATGAAGTGGCAGAAAATAACGTGTGATGAACTGACCGTAAACCCCATTCCCTGTCCCCCTCTGCCGCTGGGGGGGTAGGTAGAGAATCCGGGAGTGAAGTTGTGCCTGGGAAGAAGGGAGGGGTGGAGGGAAGGTGTTCTGAGATTTGGTTTTATTTCTCATTACCCTACTCTGGTTGATTTGTAATAAAATGAGTTAATTTTCCCCAAGCTGAGTCTGTTTTGCCCGTGATGGTAATTGGTGAGTGATCTCTCCTGTCCTTATCTCGACCCATGAGCCCCTTGTTATATTTTCTCTCCCCTGTCTATCTGAGGAGGGGGAGTGATAGAATGGCTTTGGTGGGCACCTGGCATCCAGCCAGGGTCAACCCACCACAAATAAATACCCCCTCAGTTTGCCTGGACAGTTTGGAGCAAGGCAAGACAAGCATAAACAGAGTGCTGCTGAGCTCCCATGATCAGTAAAGTAACCTCTCTGCTAAGTTAGTCTCCCTCCATGTGAACTAAGCTAATTGCCACATCTGTGTATGGGATGTGGCATTTAACAATGTATGGATCACAAACCGGAAGAGGAACATGTTGTTTATAAGGCAATCAAGAAAAGCTGGAAGAGCAGCAGCTCAATGGAAAATAATCTGCTGCCTTTTTTAATAGGGATGTTAGAAGATTAATTCTGCTTATCGGGTCTTTAATAGTCCAGAGCCTATCTCAGCCAAGCTTGAATTGCTACCACTTTTGTCAAAAGCTGCCTAACAAGATCTTTTATGCCATAGAATAATATTCTGTAGATACTTTAAATTGGAGTCAGAAAAGTTGTGGCAATGAAGTGTAGCAGGGTATCATCTGTCAGTGTGGGAAGACAGGTAGTCCGTATGATCTTCTCTCACCCTTAAGACAGTGTAGATTTTAAAAAACAAAGATAGTGCCTAGACACCTAAGACCTCTTTGTTTTCAGTAAAAACGTGACTAGATGTCATGGGAGCCTTTGCAGTTCCACTCATATCTAGTATTTTATGTTTCTTTGCAAAAATTCTTGTCTGAGAAAATACTTGATTCTTAGATGCTGCTAATGTTTAAAGTGTTACTGTAGGAACATGTTTCCATGTTTATTTAATTCATTTCTGATGTTCCTACAGGCATTGATTATGATTTATTTTATCGATGCTTATGTGCTTGCAAGCAGTATGACTTCAGATGAGAAGAAATGCACACAAGTTGTCAGAATCATCCTTGCATGAATTGGAGCTAAAGCAAAGGGAAACTCAAATGTTCTTCCTAGGCAGTTTGCCTTGAGACAGGGTTAACGTAGTTTTTTTCCATACGGCTCAGGCAGTATTTTCCAAGCACCCTTTTTTTCTCCCTTCCCACCTCCTGTCCCCCTACCTTACAGATTATAAAGAAGCAGAAAAGCAAAACTGAGCAGGCTGAGGCTGACTTTGAATGGCCACCATCCAGGAGCAGCGGCCTGGCGTCTGTTGCTGTCTCAGATCAGAGTATGCTGACTTTTCCGGGGAGCCGCAGGGGGTCCTACACGTTGTGGGTGAGTGACTTAGCACAACTATTGATGTTTTCTGCTGCTCAAAACTGGAAGATTGAAATCGTGGATAAGTATACTTAACTGCCTGGAATGGTATGTAGAGACTTGCAGAGAACAAGCATTAAACCTGTGTCTGGACAAACTGTCTCTCAGTTGCAGGATTTCCAAGCATATCATGGGCCATGGAAATATATCACAGACATTGTGTTGTATTGGTGAGTGTTATAAAGCTGAAGAAAATCTGCCAAGCTGCATTAGTAACATTTTAAGAAGAGCAGCAAGGGAAAAATAGTGAAAATAAACTATAGGCTGTTTCACAATTGGAGAGGGAGGACACTGACAGGTGAGTTCTAGTGCATTTTGATACAGTGGTTTAAGCTGCTGCTCACAAGTGTCCTGCTACTGCACCAGTAACCACCTCTCCCCCACTGAGCAGAACCATCAGAACTGAACATGTGCTGTGCCTTAGTTCCCAGCTAAGTTTTCTAGCTTACACTGCCAGTGAAAATAGATTTATGCCAGAATATAAGACTGTGGGCCAGAATTGCTGAGATACAGACTCACATTCTCATCCCCCACCTATTTCCAAATTGAAGGAGTAATGCCTTTAAGCTCCTCTTGTTAACCCAGGTGATCACAAGTCAGTGTGAGCGTGTTTAAGCGCTTTACTCTGTAGCTCCTAGGCAACTTGCTTGTGCAACGTAAGAGCCAGGAGAGAGAGAGTTAATTTTGTGTCTGACTCAGCTGAGTTTGCTTTCTAGAGTTTAAGGACAGGACCTAGGGGAACATGATGTTCAACTCCTCAGTTATTACATCAGAAGCCTGGTTTTGTTCTGCATTTGGAGGGTTAAGCTTGAACTCAACACATTTTGAAATTCTGTTCTGAAGTAACAAGTTTGAGTCCCAATTTTTTTGCTAGAGGGGGGCTCATTGGTTTGAGAAATAGTAGACTTTGTGGAAAATACTGGAGTAGCAGAAACATCACGCTGAGGTGAGAAAAGCCGCAACAAACAGCTTCAAAACTTCTGCAGCCATCGGTCAGTACTAAAGATCCAAATGTGTACAGTGCTTTATAAGGACTTTCTACCTCTTTACAGGGTCTTTCACCGCATTTACCACCATTTGGTCCAGTTGTCTTCCCACAGTGCATTAAGGAACACAAATTAATTTGGCCATCTGGGCTGGATTCTCTCATCCCTCTCATAAATTCAGTTTCTGCCTTTTGCTTTGCTAGGGTTGTTTTATTGTTTTCCTTTGTCCTTTCAAGTGCACGTGTGTTTATTTTCACTTTGCTTTGAATAGAGGAGAATTTTCTTAGTGTAACCAGACAGCCTTGGAAAGGTAGCATAGCTCCAGTTGCTCCCATAGCTAATACAGTTGCAGTTATGTTAGCCTATTAGGCTAGCAGAAATAAAGTCATAGAAGGCCCCTGTAACAGAGGGTCTGCTGGAAAGCATGCTGAAAGGCCATTTGTGCAGAGCAAACATAGAGCAGTTACAGCCTGCTTGATTCTCACCAACAGCAGTGGAGGAAGCCAAATTCCTTTTCCTGAGCTTGCTTTCCATTCAACTTTGCTTTCATTCAGCTACAAATGGTAAGCATGTATCTGTCAGCAGATTTGCAGGACTAAACTGCATCAGTTTCTCCTCTGTGTATCATTTGAGAAAGTTACCTTTTCTGCCAAAAGAATTGCAGTATTTTTTTTCTTTTCAAAACAAAACTTAGCTTCTACAGAAACTGGCAGAGAGGCCCTATGGCCATATGCCTTTTCCAGGTAAAGCTCCTTACTCCCTCCCAGGCAGATTTTGGAACTCTTCAGTCCAAGCCCGTAACAGCAAATCTTCATGGACTCAACTGCAATAAGGGAAGTTTTCTTATTTCCTAACTGATGACGTTATGTTGACCAAAAAAACCCCCAAACTTTTGATTTCTGTATACATCCTACCATTGAGCTGTGTGCGTTGGCTTAGTTTAAGTAGAGATCTGCCTATAGCGATAAAAACTCTTTTGTTTTAGTACATGCCACAGCTAACAAGGGGGGTCTTGAAGATGATTTATTAGGTCAGGTGTTCCTAGTGTAACCAAGGTTTTTGTAGACAGACTATGTGGCCACAACAACCCTAAGGGAAGCAAAAATAAAATGTGCATTTTTTTCTATCAAAGCTACCCAAGTTGACTATTACTGCGTTAGAGTTATGTACATGAACCTGTTTCCCAATAAGGATTATTTAAATAGAGCTTTCTCTGTTTAAGATTTTCTTTGTTTTGTTACCTGGCAAACAAATTAGTACTTGAAGCAAGCAAAAGCAGGATAGAGTAAATAACAGGGAAGAAGAAACATAATTAATGGAAAGACAGACATGCAGAGGAAAGGGTGGTACGAACAGCAAATCTTAAGGCAGTTAGGATTTCATAATTTAAAACTGGAAATTTATCTTAAAGCAAATATTTTTATTTGTGTTCTGTGTAGAAGATAATACATGTGGTTTCACTAGCACAATACAGCTAGTAACATAAATTACTTCGGGCAGTTGCATACTATAACACTGGCCTTTAGAAACCCGTGTATATTATTGCATTACATTTTATTACCAAAGTAACTTGCTTACAGTGTGGGGAAGAGCTGCAATAATCCCAGATATAACTGTGTGGTTATACCTACCAAGCAATTTTTCTTTTAATGGCAGCTGTTTGCAGCTCATCCATATCAGCCAGAAACTTCCAGTGGGCTCTGGAATTCCTGCATTATCTCCCTACTCATCCAAAATCACTTGCTTTGAAATCATCATTAAATAAGTTAAACTGCCTCTTTGTAGCATGAGGTAAATGCTGTATGCAGAGAACCTGAGCTGTGTAAGCTGGGAACACCACAGTGCCAAGAGATGAACTGCATGAGACCTGCTTGACTGGAGCAAAATCTATTGATCTTCATATAAAGGAACACACACACATGGTATCTCCCTGAAAGATATTATTGATTGTTTAACTGCAGTACTGTGGTGTGGTAGTAGCTATAGATACTATTTTTTCCTTTTTTTCCTCTTAAATTTCTTTGGGATCCCTTGCCCATGCTAAAAATAGTGATACGAGGCTGAATATTTTATTTCTCTATCTCATAAAAAGAGATGGATGGCACCATCTGTTTCTCATTACCAGTAAGCAAAGGCTGTACAAAGTTGGGATAGGAGGAGCTTAGAGCAATGGGTGGATGTTTCTCTGCTCTCTCAGTCCATTTCCCCCCCATACATCACTGCCAGTGAAAGCAAACAACCAGCTGGCATATTGTATCCCATTTAAATATCGATGAAGGGCAGGTATCCTGGTGTGTTCTAAGTGCTGTATTAGCAGTCTTTATTTTACAGCTAAAAGATTGCTTATATAAACAGAAGCTCATCCATAATTTATAGTATATAAAACAGCTAGGGATATAGGGGAAAGGAGGATTTCATTAAATACACATTATGATGCACCTCGAGGGAAGCAGAAATTTACTGGTTAAGTTAATTATAAGGTCCACAGTGTACCGACAGTTGTTTATTTTTTTTTTTTTTTCTTTGATTTGTTTTAAATAGAAGGAAGGTTCCACAAGCCTGAGGTCCAACACTCCTTTGGAAATCCCTGGAGGTTTTGCAGGTGCTCTATACCTTTGTAGGTTTGTCTGAAGTAAATATTTGAAGAAAACCTTTTTGAGGAGGAATCCTGTTTAGCAGTCATACGTCACAGTGGGAGAGCTGTTTCAGATGTGGGAGGCATAACACTAGGAAGTTGATACCAGCTGACCTCAGTTCCTACCTGTCAATGACTCTATCAGAAACATCATATTTATGTCTAATTAATAAATGTGTCATGTCATAGGGAAGATGGAGCTTTTAGCTTTTATACATGAGCTGGGATCAGAAGGTTGCACAGAGTGTGTTGCTGGGATCTACTTCCAATGAGGCAGGTGTGCATTTATCCAGAAGGCCATCAGCTGGATCCTGATGGGTTATTTACTGTCCTGTTTCCTTCCAGAAGCAGCCAACTGCAGCACCGTCTTCTCTGCACAGAATGGGAAAGAACAGTACATTTTGAGATGGAAAAGCGCTTGGTACTTTAGAAACTAATGGGTCTTTTTTTAATTAATATTTATTATAAGATGATCCAACTTTAAGTATTTTCCAGGTGACAAATCTTACTCTCATCTGGTCACTTTGGAGGTGTAACGTTGTAGTCTCACTGCAAAAGTGATCTGGATTTCAGATCAAGATGGCCCTGTCCATTGTAATCTGCCTGATTTCCCTCTTTCCACTGCAGCAGCAGGATAAGACACAACTGCTTTTGCAATTCTGACTCAGCAGTTAATACCACTTTTGAAGGCTTCAGGTGGCTAAATAATCAGCGCAAGGCTAAACATGACAGCATTGTCCTTTTAAAGTTGTTTGTATAGTTTGAGTTTGTTTGAGATGTATCTCTAGCAGAAGATTACTGATTCTTTGTTTCATAGTACTATTCCTACACTTGACAAACATCCAAGACGACAGTTTTGCATGCTAGGTATATGATCAAGCCCATGCAGGCCTAAATTCACTGAATTGCACTTACTGCCAGCAAACCAAGATAGGTTTTAAGGCATGAAAGGGAGTAGGAGAGAGGACAGAGAAGGGTGGTCATTCTATAATGTTATTTTCCAAATAATTTAGGTCCTATGCTGTTCTTCCAGCTTTATTTTGTTTTAAAAATGCTATCCTAATACACTGCTGGCTATCACAAAGCTTTAAGGTCTAACTTAAAACCTGTGATGCTCAGAGCTAGGCTGCCTGACAAATCTTACTTGATTTTTAGATGAAATCAGGGTGTATATTGTCACAGCAAGAAGCAAATAAACACAGAACACTTAAGGCTTCCTCTGTCAAGTGGGTGTTTGAGTAGGAGATAAAGTGATTCTCTCTGAAGGGTGAGTGCTCTGCTGAGCACAACTTTGTAGATGAGGGTCACAACAGGATGTGAAAGGTTGAGCAGGGCAC